CAAAAACGAGACTTTGTTTTACACAAAGGAGCCCTGAACACAACCGAAGTTTTAAACATGTTGAACTTTGTCTGGGACCATCAGATAGAGCTCTTCTCTCACTTTCTCGAAACTCCGTTTTCGTGAGTTTTTATTGAGGGTCGTGACAGACGGAAACTGCTGCACGAATTTGCTCGTAAACGTATAGATTCTGAATTGAAAGTTATTCCATCAGCATTTTTTGATAAAGTAAAGTTTTTCATAACATTAAAAATGTACCGATCTTGCTGATGAATTGTTTATGACTGATTCTAGGGTTTATCACCCATAGAAAACTATCCTGGGAGCTGCGATGGACAATTGTGCATTCTTATGTTTGCCAACTTTCAGAATCGATCCGACTAAAATTTCAATCGCTAAAATCAAAATTGACAGAACCAAAATCATTTTCCCTTTATTACTGCTGATAGCGCATGAGTTGATTCCAGGAAGAAGGTTGGAGTGAATGTCTTTAATGACGCATAAATGAAAATCAGTCGTCTTTACCATGGAATTTGAACAAACCGTTAGGGATAGAACATATAGCATAGCTGTTTACACCGTCTTCTCTTATCGCAACCGGTATATCCATGGCGACATAATGTCGCTCATGCCATAGTCTAGGGCATGACGAGCTTTTTCGATCAATGATTTCCTCAGAGGGAAAATTGAGCAAATATTCCAACGACTCAGAGCGAGTAGACTCCTATCTCGCTACAGTTGTATCAAAGCCGGTTCCAGATTATTGATGTGACCGCTTCAGCAGCTTAAATCATTAAAAACAATTATTCTCAACGTTCTAATTGCTGTTTGAAACCGCGCGACTAGCCATCCATTAGCATTATCAGACGGAAATGTTAAAACCAGTGCTGCTAAGTACACAATCCATGGTCGGGAATCCAATACTAATTAGAGGTGGTAACCCTGGCCCTGAAAACTGCTTGACTTAGTCATTATGACTCAGCATCTGATAGCCGCCTTAAGGTCGATGGATGACTCGCAGAACTATAGACAAAATAAGCAACAAATGTCTCAAGGAACACTTTAATAACTCTTATGTATAACAAATATGAGCCCTTTCTCTAAAAACGTTGAAATGTTTAGAAACTGCGAAGATCGTACATAACTCAAGGCTAAAAAAAATGAGAGGTGTTTTTCAGTTCATTCGCATGGAGATGAAAACATTCAGATGGTCTTTCTAAACTTTGAGGAGCGTAAAAGTGAATTTGGTTAAGGAGGCTCAAAACATAAAGATATAGTGGGGCGGATGAACAGGAAGACAGAACAGTTCATACACAACTATCCTCAAATTGTGAAAATATTCAGCGCACATATCTATCATATCATTAGCTTGTGTGAATGCTGGTAATTCCATAGTCTTGTGAAAGAAAACAATAAATACAATACCGCTGTTTGGAATTTGCATGATAAAGATTTTGGCAATATGAAAATTTTTCTTAATTAGCCCGATTCGCTTAGTAGTTCAATAAAAAATGAAATTCCGGTGATCCATTTAGGCGGAAGGATCATGACGGAGCTTAGAACATTAGAAAGGCTTAGCTTATCACATAAACTCAGCAAAAACAGAAAAGTTTCGGCAAAGGAAAGGCTGATGGGAGAGAAAAAAACCGTCTGGACATAATTGGAAAAAAGGTATGGTTCCACAAATTCTTTAATTGCTACTTAGAGCTACTCCTGGTTCATTGGCGAAATCACGTAGGCATTAGAAACGACGGATCTAAAGAATAACAATTGATTTGAACAACTTTGCAATTTCAGGAACTTGGGCCAGAAAAATTATTCTATTTAATACTAAAGCCTTCTACACTGCGAAAGATGTCATTGAAACTTGAAAAACAGTTTAGATTGAGTAACCTTGTCTAACAAAATAGCTGTTTGCGAGACTACAGTTGTTAATTTGTTTCACTGTCATTATAATAAAGATTCCTTTCATCGATATTCATTCCAGCCCATGAATCCCTTTTATGCTCTTCAGAAAAAAGTATATCCTTTCTTTCGAAAGAAATCAGAGCAAGAAAATAAAGCAACTTTAAGCATAACAAGTGCTTTTTGAATCGTAGGAAAGATGGCAAAACACTGTTGAAGAGGCCAGAAAAGATCATGGGAAGATCGAGATGTTGAAACAAAAATCATAGCCTAGGGGGGTTTTTGTGTGCGATGAGGCAAAAAAATTCCATAGCACTTTCAAAGTCAAGAATTTTCTTATCACTCTCAAAGTATCTTGCCAGAAAAAGGTTCATGGAAAGATCGAGATGTTGATAACGAAAATCGTAGCCTAGGGGGTTTTTGTGAGCGATGACTGGATGAGGCCAAAAAATTCCACAGCACTTTCAAAGTCAAGAATTTTCATATCATTTCTCAAAGTATCTTGCCAGAAAAAGGTTCATGGGAAGATCGAGATGTTGATAACGAAAATCGTAGCCTAGGGAGGTTTTTGTGAGCGATGAGGCAAAAAAATTCCATAGCACTATCAAAGTCAAGAATTTTCATATCATTTCTCAAAGCATCTTGAAGTTGACTTTCTTTCATGAAAACTGCAAAAACTGCAAGGGCAAGATTTCTAGCTTGAATAAGAAATGGCTATTCCAAGAAGAGTTCTAATGAACTGATAAAAGTGCCATACTTAAGTCGTTTGAAATGTTATCTTTTTTTATTATTCTGTGGTTATGCAAGCGCTGAGTATCGTTTATTTGTAAACAGGAAAAATAACAAAAAACCACAGGTATCGTATCAAAGACGAGAAAAAGTCACACATTATATCAGATACTGGTTGACGATTCAACCATTTGAAGCGGCACTCCAGTGCCTGCTTCCACTTTTTAGAAGCTAAGATGCTAAAACGAACTTTGCCCGGTCACGAATCCAACCGCAGCTCATTATTCTCTCTGAAGACCTAAATATACTGATGGAATTGTTTTTACAGACACAATCACCAATTGCAGAACATGCTGGCACGCCGGCAAAAATTAAAATCGCGAACTAAACTTTAAGTGATAGTATTTCTTACACTTCGTTCTTGTATCTCAGGCCTGACTGGCTTTGTCAGTTATCCCGTGATCCCAAAAAAAAAAGGCTACTTGGCCAAAGTGGAGTGTATCTTTATGTGCTATGTGTTCGTCATTGTTTTTACAAACAAAGCTCGGCGTGTTTTTGTCATTGAGGTCAAACTTCAAACAAACTTTTTCAGTTTTCTTTCATGAAAACTGTAAAAACTCCAAGGGCACTATTTCTAGATTGATTATGACATGGCTGTTCCAAGAAGAGTCCTAGTGAACTAATAAAAGTGCCAGACTTGAGTCGTTTGAAATGTTGTTTCTTTTAATATTTTCTGTGGTTATGTAAGCGCTGAGTATCGATTATTTTTAAACAGGATCTTAGGGAATTCCAAACCTTTGGACCTAGGTGCACGATCGTAAACTGCTTGATATTAGTTTTGCAATAGTGTGTACGGTAGTTTCTATTATTCCGTGTATTATACCTATGAGTTTGATGATGAGTCGTGAACGAGTTGCACCAAATTGCACAAACTGTTGCCTGTTTGTGAAATAGCTGGAGATCAAGTCGAGGGTTTGTCCTCCTATTGCATGATGATGAAGCTTTTTTGAGCAGTATTTGGTGATCAGTAGTATCCAGGACTTTAGAGAGATCAAAAAAAACCCCAACAGTTGTTTCTTTGCTGTCTATAGAAGAAGCGATGTTATTTACCAATTGAATTAAGGCCATAGAGGTGGATCGATTTCTGCGAAAACCAAACTGGTTATTGTACAAAAGATTAACGCCCGTTAGATATTTATAACCACGATTATGCACTACTCTTTCATAAAGTTTAGAGAAGGCTGGAAGAATGGAAATGGCCTATAATTTTCTTTCCTTTTTGGATCACCAGATTTGAATATAGGAAGAACTTTCGCTTTTTGAAGGGTGTCTGGAAAACAACCACTCTAAAGAGAGATTAATGATCTTTGTTGAGGGCTCAACAATAGTTAAATAATTCTCACGAGAATGTTGTTAACTCCAGGGGTTTTACCAATAGCGTAGGTCTGAACTATTTCTTTAAGTTTTTCACTAATGAGCAGCCGAGACTCCGAGGGTTGATACAGAGGACTCGTTAGATATTCTTCAAAGTTCACACTGGAAGGTGCTATTTTTGCTGTTTATAAGCAAGAGTCATATGCAGAATTTGTATTTGATCTATCGAGTTTTTTCCAGATTTAACGAGGCGCGAAAATTTTCAACGTCTTCCGGTTTATAGACACTTACACTGATACGTTTTAAGTTTTTCACTAATGAGCGGCCGAAACTCCGAGCGTTGATACTGAGGACTCGTTAGATATTCTTCAAAATTCACAGTAGAAGGTGCTATTTTTGCTGCTAAATTAGGACAAATATTGGAGATTTACAAAAGTTGTTAGCTATAGGATCTGGACCAGACGTAAGTTTACCATTGTTCTTAGAGCAGGCCGAATAGCTTAATTTGAGCTTTCGTTTATTAATTACCTCGTTAAGTATTTTCCATGTGTCTTTGAGATCATTTCTACACTTTATCATTATGAATATTTAGATTTTTGAGAAACCTGTGGTAAAAGAACTCTTTTTTGCACAATGTTTTTCTAAATACTTTTCTTTTGTTTCCTGTGTGATGAAAAATTTTATTATACATTTAGTTATTTTTAAAAATATTTTCAAGAGAGCTGGTGCACAGAATGGACTTTGATGCATCCACCTAGCATTTCTCTCTCTGTTTCACAAGGGAATTGAAGACACTTTGGAAGGAGAATCTAACAGCTTATGGAAGTCGCTGAGGGTTTTTCCGTCACTTCTTCTACCTTGCTTATGGTTTTTATTTATGTTTTCAGTCTGCCGATCATTCCTTTTGAGTACACTTACAATGTTACCCATTAGCACACTGTGTACTATTTTTTTAACATCATAGTATTAACTAGATTTCAATTTACTCTTTAGGATTGTTAAATCCTTTGGATACTCCACATCACATGAAAGTGGATGATGATATGCCATACAGGGAAGGAGTAGTTCTTGAACAACCAGCCAGGAAAGGTTGTGGTTCATCTGTGAATGTTGGAATGAGAAAAGAAGTGAGAATCGATAGAACCATTAAACCAGGTTTGAGAGTCACTGTCAAGATGAATAACACTTCAGGTGTGTGAACGTACACAAATTTACCTGCTTCAATTTTGTTTTTTTCTTTTAGTTGTTGTTTCATAGTAGTAGGTTGATGAAAATTCACAACTAACCCTGATGAATAGTGCCTTGATAAAATCATGGTCCTCTCAAACTTTTTATCTGCTCGTAAAGTCTGAAATGATCTGAAGTTCAGGGCTGGGTTGTTCAAAGTTGGGTTAAGATAACCCAGGGTTAGTGTGAAATCTGGTTTCAGATTTGAAAGCTGTAAAAGAAAATTCAGTCCAATTTTCTTCGTCTATAATTTGATTATTTGATGCTCTAAAAAGAACAAAGAAAATAGTCCCTAAAAGGCATTTGAACAAAGAAATAAACAAGCCCAAGTTTAAATTTAATCTTGAGCTAGTGCACTAAGTGAACAGCTGGGCCCAGGGAGCTAACCATTGGACCATCTCATCTTCAACTTTTTTTCTAAAAAAATAAACATTTAATTTGATTGATTCTCTAAAGAGCTGAACAGACCATTCAGATGACATGTAAGCTAGAACCATCTATGAAAAATACACATGCACCCTTACTTTGTGCTTTGCAGTCATCTCAATCATATGGCAAATAAGCCAGATCTGAATTAAAGTAACACTTTGAAACATGTGTAGGAGGTACTCTTCACATAAATGTTGTGTTTGGTATTTGAATAAAAAATTCAAAAATGAGTAAGTACACTAAACAAGGGTGACATTTGTCTGCGTTTATTTTTCTGCTAAAAATTTAACAGGCACAAAGTTTTATACTGGAACAGTGGTGTCTCCCAGTGCCCCCAGAACAGAGCAAGGCCTATACTGGGGATATACTGTGAGACTGGCACCATCTTTTGGAGCAGTGTTTACACAGAGTCCATACAAAGATGGTTATGATGTCACAATAGGAACTTCAGAGAGGGGCACTATGGTAATGATCTAGTATTGCCAAATTTTAGGTATATTTAGTGTACAAATTTTATTTGTAAAACAGTTATTATCAATCAAACATTGAAACTGCATTCCAGGACAGGAGAAAGAATCACACATTCACAAGAATAAAGTGCATGATCACTGGCTAAAAAGGTTCTTGATTGTTAATTAGATTCTCCTTCTCAGCAGCTTAGGAAATCTGTAGAGAACGGTATGAAGACTGATATGCATACTGATTTTAGGGTTTGAAGGGTTAAAACTTTTGCCGAAAATGACTGCAAGAAAAATTACAACTATAATTTCCTATTTTTACATGGACCTAATGCATTCTTCTCCCAAATAGCTATTTCTGCTTTTATGCATGAGCTCATTCTTTCGCAAATCGATTTATTACTTGCCTTTTTTCATTTCAGACATTTATTGGTAGTGTTTGGAGGATTGAAGGGTTTGGAGACAAGTTTAGAATCTGACGAAACTCTACTGGCGAACGATCCATCTCTGGTGTTTGATCATTATGTAAACACTTGTCCTGGTCAGGGAAGTGGGACAATACGAACAGAGGAAGCTATTCTTGTCACGATGTCTGCGTTGAGACCGATCATAGCAAAAGCAACTACGTGGACACAAACTATTGGGAATTCGTTGTAATGTGCAGTGGAACTTCAAATAAATCTCGATCATTTGTTCCTCCGTTATTTCAACCCTATGATGAAAATCCCTACTGAAAGTAAGTGTCCTTTTCTGTGTTGTCTCTCACCGCATCTTTTCCTCTCGCTATATACGATGGAGGAAGGCATTCTTAAACAGATTTTCACGACAGTGTCATGTCACCAACATCATAAATGAGACACTGTAGGTTTCTAACTGAGAGTCGTTATGAGCTGATTTTTAAACCAAATGGCGCGATTCGAGACTTTGACAAGCTGAATTTCACTTTCAATTTCCGCAATTATGTTGGATAGCCCAGCATTGGTGACTGATAAACAGTTAATAAGTTACTCCTCAAAATCAGCTGCAATAAAGATATCCTTTTGGTTCCAAACCTCTTAAATAAAAAATTTCTAGCGTTTGCTGGAGGCTTTTGGAATATTGAATTCTAGAGGAAAGAGAAATCACCTGCAAATAAACACAGAATAAAACAAAAAACAACGTACAATACAAGCAAGTGTAAGTGCTTTTTGATCGGGTCGCGGACGTGGATGAGGTCTCGGTAAACCCTTTGCGGTCAAGTACTACTTGACCGCAAAGGGTTTACCAAGACCTAGTAAAGACCGAAATGTTTTTTTGGTATAGGAGTGCAGGACTGTGGAATACCCTTCCACCCAATATGAAATTACAATCTCGCTCTTAACTTTTAAATCTAAATTAAAAAACCTATATTTTTCTAAACTAGTCTCATACAGTCCTCCAAGTCAGTATTTCGTAACTTAAATTGACTTGCTTTTTTTGTAAACACATTCTAGTTTATATATTTTCTTTTTTATCGTATTATAGGGATTAGGTCTCAATTGGGACGAAAGCTCTGTTCCTCTCTCCTGCTACTCCACTCAATTTTTCCCTTCTTGTAACTGTGTTGTGTAGACTAGTGGTTTGTATTTGTTGAACTGTGGTGAATAAATTTTAAAAAAATAAAGATTCATTTTACGACGTGATCTTGACTTCGGGATAGGTTTCGAAGAATTCTTCGTTCCGATTCCTTTCGTCTGGCCTATTAACAAATTGCGAAATAATTATAAGTTAAAGATATTGAGGTAATAGAATTGCTTCCTTATCATCTAGATCGCTTTTGATTAAGTAAGAGAAACTACACAGCTGCGTGTTGTGATTAGAAAACGTTATAAAGGTCTTAGGACCTCAAAAAAATACAGTCCAATCATTAATATTTTTCTTCAGACGAAATTCAAATTATTTAAACATGATTTCTGAGAATGCAAGGTGGTGGGAACTTCTATTATTGCTAACACGAAACTCAGATAGTGATCTGGGATGATGGGGGCGGGCCAACCACTTTTTATAACGTGAAACAAAGTTCATGTGATGTAAATCCACCTGTATGACTCGCGCATAACTAGGTCAACGAGGGAAAAAACGTGATTTTGTGAAACAAGCACTGAATCTTACTGGTAAATTGACATAAGAGTTGTTAAGATTATATTGCTCGTAAACTGCTGAAAAACTACTTATTATAGCGCAAAATAAACCTTGGATGACGGAATACAGTCCTTTCAGTTTCATCGGTTGACCGTAAGGTCCATAACGATTCTGCGACATGGGATTTAAATTCTTCAAACACCGCTACAGTGGAACCTCGATTTAACGAATTAATTCGCGGAAAAACAACCAAAATGTACGTTATATTGAGGGATGGTTAATAGTTATTGTTTTGTTTGTCTTTTGTTCGTGGTGGAACGTCGCCCTATCCATTATCCACGGTTTGTTAAATAGAGGTTTCTGTTTTAAAATGTTTTAAAGTAAGAGAGTGGGATTCGGCTCTTAGTAATAATAATAATAATAATAATAATAATAAGAAGAAGAAGAAGAAGAAGAAGAAGAAGAAGAAGAATAGGCGCCCTGAGGTAGCACCCGCATACCGATAAGCCCCCCTAGTGGTTCAGTGGTTCATCTTGCGGACATGATGTTAGAAAGTCAAGGATGGGTGCTCAGATATTTTTGGTCCGCTCATGTAATTTATCTTTTGTGTAGTACGTCGTGCTTCGTGGGCCCAATTGTGTTTTTGATGCATCTATTAAATATTCTAAGAGGAAACTTCACGAAGTTCAAGGATGGGTGCTCAGATATTTTTGGTCCGCTCACGTAATTTATCTTTTGTGTAGTACGTCGTGCTTCGTGGGCCCAATTGTGTTTTTGATATATCTATCAAGTACCTAAGAGGGAACTTCATTTGTAAACAAATCGGGCGACTCAGAGGTTGTACGCATCTAAAATGGCTTCGTGTCTGTCTCGCTGGTGCAATAACGCTTGGAACAAAGTAAGGAATATTTGTCGTCAGCTTAAGGAGCGACAACAACAAGGCAAGTATTTCAATGCTGAAAATAGGAGTGGGTTGCTAGATTTAGAAAAGAAAACAATTTTGTCTGTCTCATCGGCAGCTTTTTTAACAGCTGTTTCTCCGTCAATAGACCTTTAGTTAGATTTGGAGGTTGCTTGAAGAATGTTTTGTGAGATATATCAGCGAGAGAAAATATTTCCACTAGCGTAAGCATTTCACTCTTTTTATGAGTTGCAAACACGTGGGTACTAAAAAAATCAATATATGGCAGTTTTTTTTAATCTTTTACGGTTCTTCATACATGTAGAGTTTGGCGAGTTTGCGTTTACATGTGTTTCGGGAAGACGAGAAAACGAAAAACGATAATCGGGAAACAGGAACCGGAACGAGAACGAGAACGAGAACGAGAAACGAGGAACGAGGAACGGAATATCCTAACATCATAAAAAATTAGGTATAAGTAGGAATCCAATTGTTAAGTTTCATTGGTGTTATAGAATAGTATGAATCCAGAACTCTAGAGATATCTACACGTTTTATTTTGAATAAATAGGGTGTTCATTTTGTTTAAAGGACTGCTTTATTAGTGTTACCTTCATCCTTATGGAATAGGAGAAGCATACCTACATACCTACTGCATATCTACTTTTTACGATATTGGACTTTCAAACATAGCCTCTGCAACAAGATGCAAAATTTTAAGAAATGCTGACCAAAAAAAACGTTGACTCGCAAATTGTACTTCAGCACCACCTAAATACTTTATAACAGAGAAAAACAAAGCGGCAACCTTGGGTCTTCTATTCAATCGTATTTAGTAAAGTAGAACTTGCCTTTGACAGCGTGTGATTAATGATGGCAATAGGACTAAGAGGAGTCCAATTCGGTCTGTAACCATATAAGGGATTAACAAATTAGACGACCGCGAAGCGACAACACATCATTTCCGATTTGAAATTAAATCAAGTATGCGAAGATCAGTCATCGTTATGTTGGCGAAAAAATTAATACATAGTCGAGGAAAAGCATCCTAATCGCTTCGATTTTCCGATACCAGCTGAACTCTTTTTGAGAGACACGAGTAATTTATTTGTTCTTTTTCCTGTTTTCGTTTATCTCACTTTGAAACTGCTGCTTCTGTACTTGTGTACTGAACTTTGCAAAAAATTGAGCTCACACAGGATTAGGCCTTTTCTTGTACAATACAATTTGCAAACATGTTATAAATGATAAGTTTTTCTTTCACTTATAAATATCGAAACTCCTGTTTCTTTAACTGAATTTTTACATAACTAGAATAAACATAGAGACCTGAGGGTATAAAGAAAAACAAAAGCGAATACAAAAGGAGCAAAAATTAATCAGGCGAGCAAATTCCCTTTTACATGGTCAAAATGTCATTTTATATGGTCAGTTTTTTAGGTGGAGATAAAGTTGATTGCACTGCAGGTGATACAAGTTTCTTTAAATTTAAAGGCGTTGTGCATTTACCTTTTGAGGTCCAAGATTTTATTGTGAAATTTCGATTCAAAAGATTACACAATAGAGTAATCGTTCATAAAAGGTCGACAAGGATGGGTTACTTGTTTTACTCGAAGCCAATTTGCCATTTGACATCACCCTCAATTGTAAGTGATGTCGCGAAAGACTGATATCAAACGACGCGACAGAAACCTTTCCCTTTGTTTAACATGACAATTTTTTTTTTGAGAGCGTTTGCGGTAAGATGCTTTTGTTACCCGTATTACTCTGTAAGCACAATACAGGGCTCGAAATTAGCACTCGCAAACTCGCGAAATGCGTGTGGTTTTTCGAAGTTGCGAGTCTAAAAAATATCCTCTAGCAAACTAGGTTCCTTCTTTTGCTAGTAAAAAAAATCTTACTAGCAAAACTTTGCTAGTAGACAAAAAAGTTAAGTTCGAGCCCTGACGATACAAGTGTTTCCTCTGCAAACTTTCCTTTAGTACAATACATCTATTGCCTCTTAAAGCCTACGTGACAAAATACACTTCTTCAAATGAAACAACACCCATATGAAAACCTTTTCCTTTAAGAATCTTTCTGTTTCTATAACTTGGTTTCTTATGATCTTCAGCATGAGTTTTTGAGGATATAAATGGGAATAGACCTACTAAAATTTACATAATAAAAGATGGTAAAAAACATGGGAAGTCGTGGATCGTTCGCTTCACGGTGTGCGAGTAAATTGCGACGTCGAAAAGTCTGGTGGCTGTTAATTGAACAGATGTAAAACAGACATAGTTTGACGCTACTCTGGTTTGCAGATTTAATGAATGTAACCGAAGAAGTTACGATTCATAGACCCAACGTTTCGACACTCCTGTCTAGTGCCTTCATGAAGGTACTAGACAGGAGTGTCGAAACGTTGGGTCTATGAATCGTAACTTCTTCGGTTACATTCATTAAATCTGCAAACCAGAGTAGCGTCAAACTATGTCTGATTGTCCACCTGGTTGCCGTGTGAACTTTTATATATTTTAGATGTAAAACACTTAAGCTCGACTAATTACAAGAATTACGCTGAAGAGGAGGGCGTAAATGAAAGGGAAAACCTCAGGGAAAAGCGGCTACGGCGGAGACCAGTCATCGTTATGTTGACGAGAAAATTAATACATAG